ATTGGTTTATTTGGGCCAACTGTATGGTCTTAAATACCCAAAAGGAAAGTATAACCAAAGATTAAAGTGATCAGTATATTTCTTTGAGAGCTTAAGGGATTACACTTCTCAGACATTAGGCTTAAGTCCAACACAGCAGACAGTAGCAGGGATATCAGAGTATAAGGGCTCTTGTGGGGAGAGGGAGGCTATGGGAAAGTACTGTATAAGGGCTCTAGTAGGGGGAGGGAGGCTATGTGAGGGTGCTATCTGGGAAGTGGGTGTATAGTTGAATAAGATGGTTTGGGATGTTGTGTGTGATATACACACACAAAATCAACAAATTTAAAAAATGTATTATATTTGAGGAGGAAGCATGGAAATTTACATCGTGTTAATTAAGTAGAGGTGATAAACATTATCACTGAAATCTACCCTATGACTTTACAGACATACACAGGCGCCAAGGATCCAAGTGCAACCGATTATTACTAGTAATAATCAGATACATACAGATTAGAGATGCAAGCGCCAACATCTAGTTTTAGAATCGAAAACAATGAGTCTTTCTGCAAGGAACAATATATTCTAAAATGAAATGGAGATCTTTTTTAAAGGTCAAAACTCATTCAATTTTATGTCTTACAGGGCTCATACTGAGTTCAATATTGCATAACTGTATTAATTCAACTGTGAACCTAGAAACTTGCACCCGCTTGTGAAAGAGATGTACTCTTGCTCTGGAGTGTGTTACTGAATATGTTTAAAGCTGCAGTGAAATGCTTCTTCTGATCATGTAGTTATTAAAATTTTTTTAAATGATTAAAGAAAATAGTAATAATTCTTCAAAGCATAAAAACTTGCTCCTTAATAGTTAGTAGATGTGAAAAACATTACCACTGAAATGTACCTGATGACTTTATAGCCATGCTCAGATGCCAAGGATCTCAGAAAGTAACCAACTGTGACTAGTAGTAATCAGATATATAGAGATTAGAAATGCATGTGCAAGCATCTTTGTGTTAATTGCATTAAAAATGAATTTTTCTAGCCAGGCGTGGTGGCGCATGCCTTTAATCCCAGCACGTGGGAGGCAGAGGCAGGCGAATCTTTGTGAGTTCAAGGCCAGCCTGGTCTACATAGTGAGTTCCAGAACAGCTGGGACTACAAAGAGACTCTGTCTCAAAAACACCAAAAGAAAAGAATTTTTCTATATGAAACGGTGTATTTTAATAATCAAATGGAGATCTTTCTTAAAGGTTAAAACCTCACTTAATGTTATGTCTTATAAGGTTTATACTGAGTACAATATTGTATAACTGTAATAATTCAACTGCAAACCTAAAAACTTACAGCCAATTTTGAAAGAGATGCATCTTAGCTCTGGAAATTGTTATTGAATTTGTCAATGCTAATGTTAATGAAATATGTATGTTAATGAAATGCTTAAGTATGTGGTTATTAAGTGATTGAAAAAAAAAAAAAGACTGCTAAAAATCTGGATTTTGGAGGAAGGATCCAGTAGTTTGCAAATTAAAGAGAAGCAAACTATTCTTACTTTCAGTTCTTAATAACTATATTATTTCTACTTTCAGTTCTTTATAAATTTTTGTTGCCCATTCATTTATAATCTTTTATCTATTTATTTATTTGTATTTTTTTGTCTTTTTGAGGCAGAATCCCCTGTAGCCCAGCTGACCTCGAACTCACTATGGAGACAAGACTGGCCTTGAACTCACAGAGATCCCCGCCTGCATCTGCCTCTGCCTCCGGGGTGCTGGGATTAAGTGTGTGCACCACCATGCCTATATAATCTTGTAGGACAACTCACAGAATACCTACTTCTATTTAATAAAAAAGTAAATGTAGATTATCAGTTTTAACTAAGTAGGAATTCAGTTTAACAAAAAGCTGTCCTTTACTCACCATTATCTGGCCCTTGAAACTTCATGGAATAAAGCTTAACAGGCTGATTGAATGCCACAGTAATAAGTAGCTGCAAGAAAAACAGTTGCATTATGAAAGGTTTCCAACACCTTGAATACACAAAATGTCTAAGTAGAATTAAAATAAACAGAGGTAATGAAAACCTAGTTCATCTAACAAAACCATTTCTATGTGCAATATCAGTAAGTTGAAAGTAACTTGATTAGACTGACATTTCAGAAATACCACCATCAATTATTTATGTAAAAGAATGGCAGAAAAATTAAAGCAGTAATTTTACTGAAATTATGCATAAGAATCAAAGATCTTGTAACTTACAAACTGTCAAGTAACCTGAATTCCAATAAACCAAACAAAACCTCCAAATGAAATACAATGTAAGCCCTAAATTTCAGCATAATACACAGATATATTTCCAGATATCTGGGAGGCAGTTTGTAAGTTATGCAGAAAGACTAACTCTGAAATGAATTATGACCTAAAATTCAGAAAAAATAACTCCTGGGGCCAGGAATATAGTTCAGTGTGCTCAATACTTAGTGGGAGGAAGGAAAGGTAGGAGGAAAGGAGGAAAGAGAGGAAAACAAAGCACTTTTATAGCTCTACTGGGCCTCCAAAAATTCCACACTATTCTTATTTAACTAACTTAATGTAGAAGGCCACACAAAGGTACTAAGACACAAAACACTGCCTGGGTGACTCGTTCAGAAGCTGATAAGTTGTTCATTTCTTTTTCTTCTCAGCCCAAACTGTGTGTGTCCTGTTAGTAGCTGTGCCACTACCCTAGAAGAATAATATTCCTTGACAGGTTTCAGGAAAGGTGCAGACAGTGCTGCTGTCTACACTGTCTTCTTTTTAGGTCACTATACAAGAGAAATATAATGTGAATGATAGTATTAAAGCAGTAATGAGGCACCTCTAGTTAGAAGAAAGGGTTTATAATTTTAGAATCATATTGTGGTCTAAGAAAATATCTAGGCTATTTCCTTTGGTTACATCATTTACTCTTTATACTTGACTCTTAATAGTGTCAACACATAGTAAGCACGGTATGTGAAAGGCACTGATATGTAGGTGAAAAGCAGGTGAGGAGAAAGCCAAAAATGGGTAAGTCAGCAAGACATCTTAAAGCCAGCAAAGAAGCATTATTTAACTCATTAAAACACACACACACACACACACACACACACACACACACAAAAGAGAAAAAAAAAAAAAACAGACACACACTCACACACACTCACACACTCACACACACACACACACACACACACACACACACACACAATTGAAAAACAACAACAAAACAAGAGCAACACGCAGATCTATACGTTAGAAATAACAACTTTTGATCATGTAGGAGATGAAGTGGTGTGGGGGCAAACCTCACAATGGAACAGAAAGTAAATTAAGAAAACTAACACCCAGAAGATAAAGAGGCTTGACTGAGGTGGTTACACCCTTCTTCTGTGGCAAGGACAATGGAAGAAAGAGAGCAAAACAGCATGTTGCTATCTGGGAGTGGGAAGCTAGCCCTATAAGGGAGTATTCATCTAAGTAATCCACTTCTCATACACAAAGCACCTCGGTAAAAAAATCAAGATGAATAAAAGGACTAAACACTGAAGATGACCCAACCAGTAGTGGGACTAATCCACAAGTTCTGCAATGTTCTTTGGCACACAAGGCACACAGAGAACACAGTGAAGAAGCCGATCTGGACAATAAAAGGACAGGAGTCAAAGAAACTGAAAGCTATTAAAGAAAAGACTGAAATGACCATTTGGAACAGAGACACATACGTCAGGAGATGAGAACACTACAAAGAAATAAGAGGAATATAAAAAGTGACAGTCTCTACCAGCCTTAAACACTGACTTACCTGTTCATCACAGTCAGATTCCAAGAAGGTCGTGTCTTTTCGTAAACAATTGTCAAAGCCATGTTCATCACTTTCATTAAGACATTCACAACCGGCTTTGTTAATGAAAGGCATCAAGTCCATCTGGGGGTTAAAAAAAAAAAAACCCATAAATTTAGGAGAAACAATTAGCTTTGGTATAAAAGGTGTTAATTATTTAAATCTGTGATCCTCTCTACACTAGGTTAGTTTGAAGAAAATGTCTACTCTAAAGGGCTTATTTTTGTATTATGGTAGTTTCAAATATATACAAGTACTCTTGTTTTACTCCTACCTCACTCTGACATTTAACAGCCCGTTCCAATTATTTTGGTGCAATCTTAAGACATTTTAGCATTTCATTTATAAACGTGTATGTCTAAGAAATAAGTATTCTTCTATAAAATACACAACTCAACATCATTACAACAAGCAAACCAATACCTTAATATCAAATACCACATTCAAATTTCCTCAACTAGCTCATCGATGTTTCATGGTTGAAATACTGAGCCATAATATTAATTTCAAAAGAAAGCTGGGCATGGTGGCATATGCCTTTAATCCCAGCACTCAGGAGGAAGACGGATTTCTATGTGAGGCCAGCTGGTCTATACAGCAATTCCAGATCAGCTGGGGCTACGGAGGAACCCTATTTCTCAAAAAGAAAGAAAAAGTGCAAACATGGTATTTATTTAACATGTCTCTTAATCTACATTCATTAGCCTTTAGATTTCTCACTACTCTGGATTTTGCCAGTTGCCTCCGGTGGTGTCGGCCATCATATTCCTTCTCTTGTACGTTGTGTGACCAATGCTCCATGCTGCCAACATACCACCAAGGAGCTATGGTCATCATGCTTACCTTCTTTCTGACTCTAGGAGAAATGCCACAATCATTTCTTCATTGTTCTATTAAATGTTTTACTATCTGTTATACTCAATTCTAAAAGAAAAAGGGGGAAGGCTACCAGCAAAGTTCCACTTATAGCAGAATTATTACTATAGTAGAAGTATGAATTTCACCCACATTTGTCCTGAAAGGCTAGGTTTGGCAAAATCTTTTCAATGTTTCCTTCATGGCTGTAAGCCAATTCAATACTATGTTTAGGATTAAGACTTCAGACAAAGGAAAGCATTGCAGTCATACCTCCAATCCCTTAATGATAAATTTAAACTCAAAGAATGGGTTTTTGACTTTTATTTTTACTTATTGCGGAGCACATAAAAAATACCCATTGTATTAAAGTGTTTTGTTATGCAACACCAGGACAAGTTACATATTTGTAATAATTGCAAGTTAACAGTTTGAAAATGTGGTTAAGAAAGTATCAGGCTGGGAGTGGTGGCACAGTCTTTAATCCCAGCACTCAGGAGGCAGAGGCAGGCGATCACTGTTGAGTTTGAAGCTACCCTGGTCTACATAGTGAGTTCCAGGGCCAGCTGAGGCTACAGGAAGATCCTGTATCAAAGATATCAAAAATATCAAAAAAATAAAAAAAAAAAAAAATAACAAAAAAAAAAAAAAAAGAAAAGAAAGAAAAAAGTAGTGGCACAGACCTGTAATTGCAGCCACTGAGACAGGAAAATTCTAAGTTCTGGAAAACTTAACAAAAGGAGGGGGAAGCTAAGGTAGGTGAAAGCTAGGGATATAGATCAGTGGTAGAGCGCTTACGCCGCTTGTACAAGTACCTAGGCTTAATCCTTAGTACCTCAAGAAATAAGAAATAAATCTATCACTACTTATATAGTCAATGTGCCCAATGAGGAAGGAATAAAAAAATAATCAAATTCAGACTGTGAGATAGTCTTTTAGATAGGCAGTCTACTCTTGATCTGTCTAGTATGATAGTCCTCTAATATGATAGCCATTATTAGCTGTATGTGGTCATTAAAATAATTATATAAGTAAAAATATAAAAATTTATTTCCTCAGCTGCATAGCCACTATTCACTAGACACATGTACCTAGTGTCTACCATACTACACTGATGCTGATTTAGAACTCCAAAAATGCAGTTATGAAATAAAGAAAATAATTCTATATTAAAGACTCAGAGAAGTGACAAATACAATTCATGATGTTTGATTCTAGATTGGAAAAAAACAGTTTAAGGATAATTAAGGAAATGACAATGTAAAAATGTGAAGATACTATATCAGCAGAGGAATGATAATGGTGTCATGGTTATTTATAGTCTTTTTCTTATGAGTTATTTGTTGAAACTGTTTAGAGATGAATTATCAAGTTATCTATTAACTTACTTATAAAAATGATTCTGCAAAAAACTAAAAGCGGGTAATGAGGTAGATAAGCCACCAGTGAAAGGTATACTTGGTTAGTATTCCGTAGTCTCTTAAAATGTTTCACCTTTACAGTAGAGAGGGGAGGAAAGTTGGAAAAATCTTTTTACATTGTTGGTTCAGGAAGCTTGTCTACTTACTATATAAATTAGGACCATACAAAAAAGATTTTACTGTACAGGTGGCACATGCTTTATAATCACAGTATTCAGGAGACAGAGGCCAAAGGATAAGGATTAAGGCCATTTGGTGCTACAAGTAAGCATGAGGGCAACTGGAGTTACATGACATTGTCTCAAATCACACACCCACATACAAACAAAAAACTGGATTTCATTTTCATAAATTTATACATCAAAACTGTGCTGGATAGCTTTAGTGTCAACTTGACACACCTGGGTTTAAGGAGCTTCAACTGGGGAATTTCCTCCATTGGACTGGCCTATGGCCAAGTCTGTGGGGGCATCTTCTGATTATTGAGTGATGTGGGAGTGCCCAGCCCCTTGTGGGTGGTGCCACCCCTGGGCAGGTGGGCCTGTTGCATAAGAAATCAGGCTAAGCAGGGGTCAAGGGAACAAGCCAGTAAGCAGTGTTCCTCCATGGCCTGTGTTTCAGCTCCTGCCTCCAGGTTCCTGCCCTGACCTGAGGCTCTCTGATGAACTGTGACCTGGGAGATGTTAAGACAAATAAACCCCTTCCTCCCCAAGTTGGTACTAGTCAGAGTGTTTTGTCATAGCAATGGAGAAACAAACTAGAACAAAACCCTATAGTTAGGAAGACCCAGAATAACCCAGGCCAGTTAGGGCTGTAGAGTGAGATTTTGACATAAACACACACACACACACACACACACACACACACACACACACACACACGATACTGACACACACTAAGAAGTCAGAACACAAACTAATACAAACGCCAGCTGGATTCAAGAATGTCTGATAGTTAGCAAATGTGGGAAAGAACTGATTTAAGCTTCTCTAAATTTCAAAAACAGCCATTATGCTGGGCTAGAGATATAGTTCAGTGGGAGATTACTACCTATCATGCACAAGGCCTTCAGCTCATCCCTGGTATCATAAAATGATCTTTTAAAAAGTTAAAAAGTCTTTATATTCATAAAATAATTTCCTATATTTGATTAAGACTCTATTACAAGAATAGAGATATAGTTCGGCAAAGGCACTGGCTGCCATACCTGATGGCCTAAGTTCAATCCTCGGGACCCAATGGTGGAAGACACACACTGTTGTATGCATATATTTACACACACACACACACACACACACACACACAGATAAATAAATGTAATAATAAAAAAGAATTCATAGGGCTAGAGAGATGGCTCAGCCATTAAGAGCACTGGGTACTCTTACAGAGGACTTGGGTTTGGTTCCCAGCACCCACATGGCAGCAAACAATTGTATGTTGTTCCAGGGGACACGACACCATCTTCTGACCTCCGTGGACACTGCACAACATGGTGTACTTACATACATGGAGACAATATACTCATATACATAAAAATAAATAATCCATTATAATTCTTAACCTTTAAATATCAAACCTCTATTTTTTGCAATGCCTAAATGACACCAAAGGGTGACATGTATTTCTCTTTTTAAAGAGAAGTTGCAATTATTTAGTCTTAGAAGTATTTTATTAATTAAATTTGTTCTTTGATAATTTCATACATATATAATGCATTCTGACTGCTCTCATGGCTCACCCTATCCTCCCTCTGCTGTCCCCTATCCACCTACTCCCTCCACTAATCTCTCACATTCGTGTATTTTGTTTTGTTTGTGACCCACTGAGTTTGGCAAGGGTCTTCAATATGACCATGGGTTTAGAATTACCCATCGGAGCCTGGCAAACTCACCAGTGGGTATACAAGTAAAGACAATGGCTCCCCGCCTCCCAGAGTTGATCACTAGTCAACAACTCAACAGAAGGAGATTGGGCTCCATGAACCCCTCTATCACTCATGACTGACTCAGTATTAGGAAAATTTTAAAAAATTTCCATACCTTCTTACTTTGGTTCCTATCAAAGTAAGAGTTTTAAGATAAAAAGATATATAAAATAGTAACTATAATTTCTGAGTTAAAACACTATGACTGAAGACTTTTATTCCAAGAAACCCACAATTTTATTTTTAAAAAAAACTGTCAATACATTCTTGTTATGCATATATTTATCTCGATTTAAGATCTAGGATTTCATCTAATGGCTGCTTCTCCTCCCATTACTCCGTGTATTTTAAGAAAAAGGACGACATTCTTGGGATCACATTACTACTTGTATTTAGTAACTCTGTTAAAACTTAAGTAATTCAGTACCCAGGAGGGAGAGGCAGAGGCAGGTGGATCTCTGTGAGATGGAGGCCAGCCTGGTCTACAAGGAAAATTACAGGCCTCCAGGCCAGGGAGATCCCATTAAAAAAAAAAAAAAAAAAAAAACCTAAGTAACTAAAAATTTTACCTGATTAACACCTGATGAAATAAATCACAATGTTTTTTTTAAAGCTTTGTATATTTGCATGAAAACTTTTTGTTTCTAAAACTTATTTGTGTTTATTTCCTACCTGCAGTGAAAACACCAACAGCACACTTAGCTGATGTATAAAAAAGTACCCCTGTAGTTAATTCTCAATACTGTTTTGTTTGTTGGCTGGTAAGATTTTTTTTCATGCAGACTCCCTAAGCAATAAAGGGGGGGAAACAACAACAAAAAACCCCAAAAACTGAGAAGATGCAAATACATCAGTTTATAAGTTAGATGATTTCAAAAGATTTCCAAAAGCTGTCACTGAACCCCAGCTTGCAGGTCTTAACCTTCCAAGACAAAGAACTTATGATTGTGAATGTGATTTCATGAAGCTCAGAAGCCTTTCAAAGACCTGAGTGAGAGACACTCCTAAAATGTAATCATCAGGCCAGGATACCTGTAATCCTAGCCCTTGGAAGGTAGAGGCAGGAGGCACAGGATCTGAGGATCCATCTCAGCTACATGTTAGTCTGAGGCCAATCGAGATCTCAAAAACAAAGCAAAACAATAAACAAACAAAAAATGTAATCCTCAAAAGAATAAGACCTCTGGGGCTGGAGAGATGGCTCAGCAGTTAAGAGCACTGGATGCTCTTGCAAAGGACCTAGGTTTGATTCCCAGCACCCACATGGTGGTAACCATCTGTAGTTCCAGTTCCAGGCGATCTGACGCCTTCTTTTGACCTCCATGGGCATTATACAACATGGGTGCACTTACACACACAAAGGCAATACACTCATACACATAAAATAAGAATAAATAAAATATTTTAAAAAAAGAATAAGACCTGTGTCTCTGGGACTTCGTGCAAAGGCAGAATCCAAACTGATAATGGCTAAAACAACAAGCATAGCCTGTCTAGTCTCATTTATACTACGCAATCCTTTGTATTTTTTACTTCATGACTCTGAGCCCCCATACGCCCTCCTCCTTTCATCACATCCAAATCATAATTAGGCTCAGTTTGGACTGCAGATGGCTCATCGGTTAAGAGCACTGGACGCTCTTCCAGAGGACCTGGGTTTGGTTCCCAGCACCCACATGGTGGCTAATAATCATCTGTAACTCCAGTTCCAGGGGATCTGATGCCCTCTTCTAACATCCCCAGATATCACACAATACAGGTACACTTAAACACATGCAGACAATACACTCCTACACATAAAATATTTTAAAAAAGAATTAGACTCAGTTCTTTTGCTTTATAGCCGAGAATTTTCCTATACTTTCTTCATTCTTAATTATGTTTAAGATGTTTTATAGAATATATGGCTTTTTGTGAGATTCTTTAAATACAACCTCAATAAAGAACCAGGCTCTACAAAGACTAAAATCAAAAGTATGGAGAGTTGGTCATAAAATGTTTATTAGAGTTCCACTAGCTCAGCTGTAGATAACACTCCTCACACGCAGGTCAGGATGGTGATGACTGACTAAGTAGTTTTTTAGAAACTTGGAGTAGATTTTCTTTAGGTCAAGCCAACTGAATCTACTGAAAGTTCAATTGAGTTTGGGAACTTATTAACTGCATCATTTTCTGAACATGTGACCTATGAAGAGTCATAGTTTAACCAAAATGCACAGAAGCCACCACTTACTTCACCTTCCCCTACAATCCAATTTCCTTTTCCCGTTCCTTGGACCAATTTTATCCCACAAGTATACATAAACTCTACCCTTGGAGACACAGAATACAAACTTGTTCTCCAGTTCACATGCTTGCCTCCCTGTAAATAAACTCCTCCTCTTGTAAAAAATTCTGTAGTGATCAGCATACTATGACAAACAAAACCGGCCCGTCAGTAATTATGAACCTTGACTTAAATGTACTTTCTTATGGAGTATTAAATATTCAAATTACAGCTTGACTTTAAATAAATACTATTGTATGTCCCTAACATAAAACATTCCTATTACCATGTTACAGACACTTATTGACAAATCCCCACCAAGTTCCTGTGTTTACTTGAATAGTTTCTCAGCTTGAATTAAGAGGGATTACAAAAAGGACCACGGGACTGATCTGTTTTAATATACCTAATATAAATTCTTTAATATATTAATTTTAACTTGGGGCAACATTTGGTTTTTTAAAAGTCCATTCTTTGATCTGCCAATATAGTAGTAATGTTATAAGCAGAAAATTAAGGAATACATTATTTTTAGTATGCATTCTATCCCAATGTTCATACACAAATCTAGTACCATGAAGTGCTACTTCTGAATTTTATTTCCTTCCTGAATAACTCACAAATTATACATACTATATAGCTTCCAAACATTATTCTGTGAGTTCTTTATAGTCTTCAAGTTACTAAAGAAAATAGTAGCTTACTCTTTTTTAAAAATTTTTAAAATTCTATTTATTTGGTTTTTTTGATGTTTTTGAGACAGGGTCTCCCTGTAGACCAGGCTGGCCTTGAACTCACAGAGATTCACCTGCCTTTGCCTCCCAAGTGCTGGGATTAAAGGCGTGCGCCACCACACCCAGCTTTATTTGTTATTTTTATTTATTTTTTGTCTTTTTGAGACAAGGTCTCCCTATAGCCCCAGCTGTCCTAGAACTCACAGAGATCTGCCTGCCTCTGCTTCCCAAGTGCTGGGATTAAAGGTGTGCACCAGTATTATGTGTACACAAGTACTGGCCTTTGGCCTTCATGTAGGTAAGTGCATCCATGTAGTGCAATGCCTGCAGAGGTCAGAAGAGGCTATCAGATCCCCTGGGACTGGAGTTACCGACAGTTGTTAGCTGCCATGTGGGTGCTGGGATTTAAACCTGGGTCTTCTGCAAGAACAACCAGTGTTCTTAACCGCTGAGCCATCTCTCCAGCCCAAGTAGCTTACTCTTAAAATACTTAAAATATATTCAATACTAAGTTACATACGATTCTCCCCTCCCCCAAAAAAACCCCAACAAAAACAGCAAAAACCCCTAGAGGAAATTAAGTAACATTCTGTAACTGTTAAAAATACAGATTTTACAATGCTCAGTTTTCTACTTACTGGGGAAAAAAATAAGCATTAGCACATGGCTACTTAACAGTTCTGAAAACAAATTAAAAGACAAATGACAAAGAAATTTAGCAAGAGAAATTTAGGGAGAAGTGATTATGAGGCAGGCTTAAGGTTATAACACAGACATAAAGAAAAGTCAATAGTCCACCCTAGTTTGAAAGTATTTTGAATTATAGAGATAAAAATTTCATTTCAAGCTGGGCGTGGTGGTGCACACCTTTAATCCCAGCACTCGGGAGGCAGAGGCAGGGGGATCTCTGAAGGGCAGCCCTGCAACCGGCATGGTGGCATATACCTGAAATCCTAACATGCTAAGGCTGAGGCTGAAGAATCAAGAATATGAACCTTGTCTATACTACAGAGTGAGTTCCAAGTCAGTCAGGGTTGCGTATGAGAGAGACCAGGTCTCATAAAAAGAAGTAAAAATAAAAATAAAAACAAAAACGGAAGAAATATATCTGTAATGAGCTGAAGGTGTGGCCCGGTGGTAGAACGCTTGCCTAGCACACACAAGACCCTGGGTTCAAGCCTCAGCACTGCAAAGAAAAATAAAGTGCATAAAAATGCTCCCATATTAAGGCACTTACTATTTTTGGCTCGCTAAAGAATTAAAAAGGGGGCATTCGTTTTCTTTCATGGCTTGAAATAGCTTACTTATCATTTTCTGAGTTTGCACTGATATTTCATAGATGCTTATGGACTTTTAAAAAATCAATCTGCATTCATACAATCGCCAAAACAATCATGGTGATTATGGTACCCGGTGGATGTGGCCACAGCAAGCTGCGAAGTGATACAAATGGAATCTTGGCTGACTGTGCTCTGTCATAACCGAGGGAAGTCTAACCTTCGTGGGAAGATGTGTTCTCTGGAAATGTCACAGAGACACAGAGAAAGCAAACCACAAATAGTTGCAAGGAAGCAGACCGGTGGCTGCATCAGCTGTCTCACTGTGGCCAAGCTCCCTGCCGTATGTCTACCAACTGCCGACTACCGCGGTGTCGGGAGCTGCCTGGTCAAGCCGTGACAGACTATTGATTTTAATAGAGCGTCCATTTCATGTTTCTACACCAGAGCATGCAGTACCTTCACGAGGAGGGGGCGACTGTTTCTAAGGGCAGAGTGGCCAGGTCCTTTGCCCAGCCTGCTTTCTGGTTAGGGAAGCTGCCACCTCCCCAGGGCAGGGGTAACCACAAGGAGATGAAGCACACAAAGAGAGCATCACCCTGAAGCCAGCATCACCCTAGAAATGAGGTTCCTCCTCTTAACTCTCCCACTGTCCCACTGTGACCCGGTCTCAAAAAAAAAAAAAAAAAAAAAAAAAAAAAAAAATTCATTTCAAGCAAGTAACCATAAATATATTTATTATCCTCCCACTCTTCTGACTACATACATAGCCTTTTGGAATGTCTGTGTCCTCATTGCTTCCAGGGTCATTTTCTAAGTGCTGCTTGATTTTTTCTTCTAATCCCACAGCATCTGCTCCTTGATACTGATCAATTCTCACTTTGTTTCGAAAAAACAAAAATGTAGGTGTTGCTGATATGTTGTTGGTGGCAGCTGTTCCCTAGAATTGGCAAATTAAACAGTGTTACTAAGTTAAAACAAATCTTATACCATTTCAAATATTCATTCTATACCTTTAAGAAAGTTATATATCACAAGCATCAGCTACAAACACAAAATAATGTATTCCTTACTGTCTAAGAGGGGAGACCTATTGCTAACAGAGTTCCCATGGGAACACAGCTACATTGCCCTTACACCCACAAGAGAACAGCTCTGCTTTTTCAAAAATAAATACCAACTTTTACTTTTATATACTTCACTCAACAGAACAACAGGCCTCCATAAAAGAAACTGTGGGGAGCTGAAGAGATGGCTCAGCAGTTAAGAGCACTTACAGCTATTGCAGAGGACTCAGGGTCAGTTCCCAGGAACACCACATGGAGCACAGAACTGTCTGTAACTACAGTTCTAGGAGATCTGGTGCCCCCTTCCAGTCTCCATGGGCACAGAGATGTGATGCACATACATATATATGCAGGCAAACACTCATACACATAAAATAAATCCTAAAAAAAAAAATGGGGCTGGGAGGATGGCTCAGTTGGTAATGTGCTTACCTCAAGAGTATAAGGACCTGAGTTCTATCCTCAGGCTCCATGTAAAAATGCAGGGCATAATAAACCAGCAGATGGCTCAGACAATAAAGTGCATGCCCACAAGCCTGACAATCTGGGTTCAATCCCTGGGACCCACCTGATGGAAGGAAACAAGTGACTCCCCCAATCTGTCCTCTGACCTCCACAAGTATACTATAGCACACAAAGGCCTGAGTGTGCACACACACAAATAAATTTTTAAAAACTGCTTCTGGGGGGCTAGAGAGGTGATTCAGTGGTTTGAGAGCATTGGCTGCTCTTGCAGAGAACCCAGGTTAAATTCCTAGTACCCACATGGCAGCTAACAAGGGTCTTAACTCCAGTTCCAGGGGACCTGACACCCTCTTCTGGCCTCTGCAAATATCACATGACATGGGTGCACTTACATTTATGTAAGCAATATACATACACATAAAATAAAAAGATATTCTTTTAAAAGTTGTGCTTTATGACAGGCAGCTATCTCATAATTACATGCTATGTATTTTTTTCAAAAAGAAATAGCCAAGAAGGGTACTGAAAAAGTATACACCTGAAAAACAGCAAGCAGTCAATCCTAACCCCCACTCCACACAAGAAAACCACAAAGAGAACAGGCACCATCTTTTGCCATGGATGAGGGTTGCTCGCATCCATTTTCTACTTTTATATAGCTGACTGAGGGTCATAATAAAAATAAATCACCTATCTTTTAAAATACCGCTCTAGCTCCACAATTTAAATAGTGAACGGAAATTAATGACCACTGAGTACCACTGTTAATGTTTTCATGACAAGGATTTAGAAGCAAATAAAGCAAATCTGTCCTATTACATACTTAAATGCCATGAAGAGGTACAGCTCTATCATTTAAAGAAAGAAAAAAAGTGCAAAGGTAACCAAGGGATATCTTCTCTAAGCCTTATGTGATCCATCAAGGTAGTGCTGTCCAAAAGAGGTAAGATGCAAGACATAAACATGAGCTATAGCCATACGTGATTTTAAATTTCCTGGCACCCATAATAAAAAAGTAAAGGGAAGGCCAAGAGTGGTGGCATATGCTTTTAAACCAAGCACTCCAGCCAGGGTCAGAGTCAGGCAAACTGTGAACACAAGACCAGCCTGATTTACATAGCGAGTTCCAGGCCAGTCAGGGACCCTGTCTCAAAAAGAAACGAAAGAAAATTGTCGTGTATTGTGGGACGGAGATTAGCATGCAGCTTTGTAGATAAGATTACAAACTGCTCAATTCAAATCAAATATGATATAAAGTTCTCTGCTATGATTTTATGATCAATAACTCAGCAAAAGAATTCTAGACTGGCAAAAGATAAAGAATAAAGAACTGCCAGGTGACTTATTTAACAATATGGCATTAATTTTACATCAGAAAAACATTTAAACAAACTTGAAATAATAATGTACTTTCTTAACCAATGTAATCAAAATAGCATTTATAACAATCCTTCCAGGGAATAAGTACTATGTACATAGAGATAATAGATTACTTTAATGCTGAATTTCAAACTGCTTCATTAAACAAAACAAAACAAAAACAAACAAACAAAAAAACCCTGCCTTACTTACCTGGCACTGATGTACATCTACTTCCAAGAAAACTGCCTGTGGATACTTATTACTCATAGAACTGAATGCTGGGGCAATCCTCAAACAGGGTCCACATCTGTGAGAGAGAGAAAAGACTTAGTAAAATAAAAGACTGTACTAATTTACACTATCAAAGCATTTGTCAATTGAACTAAAATAAGGCAAAGTGATATTCCTGGCTTTAGACACTCTAGCCTTTTCAACTGGGCTATTTATAATAGTGTATTAATTCCCTATTATCTGACTACTATATTAGGACTTGGGCTTAATGCTATTATCTTCTAGTTTTGTTCTCATGGATAAACCAAAGGAGAAAAAAATAAATAGAAGTGTATACAATGTTTATCAACTGGAAAGGTCAGTGTCGCAAGATGTCAGTTCTACCTGATTTGGTCATTGGGGTTAAAGAAATTAAGAAATGTATATTCTAAAATTTATGGGGAAATACCCAAAACAATCCAAGTGTTCATTATTAACAGCCCACAGCAAGCACAACTCAACAGATGATGAACGAAATGAGGTACATACATGCAGTGGAATATTGTATGCAGGTATAAAAGGAATGAGATTCTGAGACATGCTACAATACAGATGAACCTTGAAGATACACCAAGTGAAATGAGTAAGAAAAAAAGACATACTGTTACAACTTCCCTCACATACTACAATTCCCAGAGACAGTTAAGTAGCAATGGAGGCTACCAGACTACCCTGGATGTTCAGGGAATGGAGCACTATTTCAGGAGTACAGAGTTTGCTCTTCTGGAGAAGTAAGGATGGGGAGTTACAATTTAATATTAAGGTACAGTTTCTGCTCGGGATGACAAAGACATCTTAGGAAATTGTAAATATATTTAACACCACTGAATTATACTTTTTAAAACTCCTAAAAATGATCAGATGTGGTGTGGCATACCTATAAAATCCCAGCATTCAGAAGGCTAAAGCAAGAGGATCACAAGTTTAAGTGTTGCCTGAGCTACAGAGTAAGACACTGTCTCAAAAACAAATAATGCATCAGGTGTGGTGGTAGCTCCTTCCTTTTACCCCAGCACTTGGGAGGCAGAGACAGGCAGATCTCTGAGACTGAGGCCAGCCTGTTTACACAGCAAGTTTCAGGCCAGCTGAGGCTATAGGGAGGAAAAAAATTAAAATTGTCAACTTTTTATAAAATATATTTTACTATAAAAAGAAAAATGGGGCTTGGGATGTAGCTTGTTTAGTATGTTCAAAGGAA